TGGAGTTTGCTTGCTGGTATACTCTTCAATTCACATGTAGACAGAATTCCTATACCTGCCATATTAATCTTTTATTTAATTTTTCTATTCTATTTGTCATGATGGCGGAATTTCCAATCTACCAATTTATTCGACTTAAACACTTGGACTGAGCCGAGGAGGCCGGACACGCAATCGACCACCAACTCTGTTCATCTGTCGTGCTCGTATTGCTACATCGCCTGTAGCGATGATGGCGTCTTCTCGCTCTGGTGCCACGATTGGGGCCTGCTCGAAGAGTAATTGTCCGGCCAGCATGAGCTCAATTGGTTCAACTGGCAAATCAAATCAACTTTAAATGTACGCAGTTATTTGACTTTAAATAGCCAAACTGTACAGGGCTTGTTCACACTTCGGAGTGCTTATCGCGAGGTTGTACTTTCGACTCATTCGTCGATATGAGGATTCGACCATTAAATGAGATTGTCATGTACGCTTCGGTTTGCATCTACTCGTTTTCTGGCATTATACTGCTCTATTGCAGTTTTTCAGTGAACAAATACGGCCTGTATTCATTTGCACGTGAGTGATAATAACCCCCAAAACGAGCACTTGGTCCCCACCCAAAAGGTGTATGTGAATGTACACCTGCGAATTGTCAATCCAGCCAGGCCCCTCGATGGGCCAGAGGGAATGCCCATTCGGTGTTCGCGTCGGCATGACGACACCCACTTAGCCGGAGGGCTGAAATGCCGCTGGACAATCCATTCAGGGACAGGGCGACGGGAAGAAGCTCAATTCATACTTCATTTCTACACAACAGCCTTGAGTCACTGACCTTGTCGGCGAGTAGTTGTCGTGTAGGCGATAATTTGTGATTACCTCGTCATAAATAATGCTATTTCATGCCTTAATTACAACTGTTTAGTGTCACTGATACAGGTCAAAGATGAATGGGGCCTGCTGGAAGAGAGTTAAGCTCGGGAAATAGGAAAAATGAAAGTATAGTAAGGCCAAAGATGGATCATATACCGCTTTCTTGCCTTATAATATTACTCATAACAGTGGCAGTAGTAATGCATTTTTCTTTATCCACGTTGCAGTTTCGAATGTCTACAGAAGTATAATGGATCACAGAGGCTTGTTTCCTTTCAACGTCTTCAATATTTTGCTTGGATTTGCTGTCACTATAGTGTGCGCTATTTTGAACTGTTTTATCATGAATTATCAAATCGACATCGTGCAAACGCTAGCTTCATGCTATACAGGTAAGCAATCAGTTCTCATTAATTCACTCAAATCAAGTGCTTTGGTAGCCAAAAGGTTTGCTTTAACCAGCTGAAATAATTTTCTGTCGCTTAAAGGTCCTGGCCCTTGACGGTCTATGGGTAGAGCTTTAAAGCTATTTTTTGGATTCTGGCCACCTGCCTCACACACATTCAGCCACCATTGGATGAGTGTGTAGTAAAACTTAAATACATCATCATTTAGCATAAATGAATGAATTGACACTAAATCTTGCATGCAAAATAGGGCTATTACCAAAGAGCTGGTGTGTCTAAGCACACAACCAACTGACCAACTGACATTAAGGCAATACACCTGCAAACACCTACTTCTCCAGAGAGAATAGTAATGAATTGTACGTGGATTCTCGATCAACTTATGAAAGCTAAAGGGATGGATTACTTCGCTAATCTCGACTTTGAGAATGAAGATTGTGAGTAAATGGAAAATTGGTGGAGTCAACCAACATCCTCGTGTATTCCAAAGGTAAAGTTCAAGTCGGCTCGAAGACAACGACCGGCAAAGAAGTCTGATACGGTGGGTCAGAGCAGGCCGCAGAGGGTCTCGTAGTTTTCAGACTCCAAAGTTCTGCAGGCCCAATGAGGGCTAATCCAGATTCTTTTTGGAAACATTTTCAATCGCCATTACTGCAGAATTCGGCATTATAAGGGCATTTCCAGATTATTCACAAATTTTTTTATTGCCTAGGTTAAGAACAAAGCCAGACTCAACCTGCTCTGTTCGCGGCTCAGCCTAGCCCCAAAGGGACTCGAACCCACTGGCACCGATGGGACACAGGGCAGTTATGACTTTCAGGGCGAACCAGTCGCACTTTCTAGTCGGTTTTTTTTCACGAAGAAGACATGGATGTGTCGTTGCGATTGATAAAATTACTTATTTTTAATGTGAATATGCTTCGAAACTATCAATAATTTTTAGGTAAGACTCCTACGCATATAATTATGAGAAAGACTCTACAATCAGTCCTTAACAGGCCTAGCATGACCATATTCATAGTCAGCAATTAGTTAAAGTTTCGACTACCAATCATACCAAATAAACTCTTGCAATCAGTCATGAAGGTTGTGCTAAACTAGAGGTAAACTAAATTCTTGTGGAGATTAAAAATAGCCATTGGTTCTCATTCAGTGTTTCCTTTCTGGCCCAACTGGGTTTCACAAATAATCGTTCTTCAGCTTGGTGACAGCATATTCTGTCTACTCTACCCGTTTCGACTTGCTCTTGTATTGGACTAGATGAATTCAAAAGATCTCTTGGCTATTTCACTAAATTTCATTCTTAAAATACATCCAAAAATATCTTTCTTCTTTTGTCCTTGACACAAGTTTCGACCTCATATCACAGTAAGGATTTGAACTGTGAATATGAAGATTACAGAGCGAGGCTAATTATATTTCATGGGGAATCTTGTCCTGATAGGCAATTGTATGCTTACTTAATGATGTGGTAGTTGCGAAGAAGTGACGAAAAAGCTTAATTTGGCTGAGAAATTATGCCACCTTCTCAAGTTCTCGTAGATCGCATAACATCGCCGTACTCAACACAACTTGGCAACAAGAATGATAGCTCAGCTTCACCAGTTAAAACGATTGTTTTTCAATTTCTTAAATCGCATCCACTCTACTTCTATTGATAAGCATTGTGGCAACATATTTTTGGGGATAGTATCCCATCTCCAGTCTCCCCACCAAATTGGACATTAGGCACGTCTTACTACAAACAGGTTAGCCAAAATGGTACTGTCTAAAGTGTGGTGAACAATTCGGGCGAACGAGCCGAAACACGATATTATTAAAGCAAAGCAAACTAAGGAAGAGGTAAATCGCCTCCTCTCTATGCAATATGGACATTTTTGGCGGTGCTGCGAAGAGTATATTTTTGGTAGCGCCTTTTAATGATATATTTAGAGAGATTGAGTAAGTCCTGTAGCTATTACTAGACCTTGAGCTGGGATGAAACAGGATTTGCAGACGAACTCAGTGAAATAAAGGGAGAAGAAGGCTTTACGCCCCGAGTTGTCTATTGCCCCTATAAAAATATCTACTTGTAATTTTAAAGCCTACTCTCCGTGTAATAAGTAGTATAGTTTAGCTTAATAGTAAATAATCTGTTTAAAAGGTCACACTTGAATTTGATCTAAATAAGTAAGTAAAAAATTGTGAAAGTGAGCGTGGTGATATGAGGATATGGAATAGGTGACTGTACCATGATATAAGGGGCGATACCACCAATATTTTGCAGACATGTAGAAAAATTGGATTTCGAAAAATCCCTTAATAGCTTGATGTTGGTGTACCTTTCATTTCGTTTGAAGAGACGATTGGAAGGGATTCGTGAGTTGGTCTCCCCGGAAGCTGTAGAAAGATTGCCTTGCAAATGCGAATGAGTCTTCAGCGCACCATCATTCGACCCCGATGAAGCCTTGTTCAGCTTCATCGTCAAACGTTATAGCCCAACTAAAGATAAGGAAATAATTATATCCCATAACCTCAAGTCTCAAATGATCAAGAAATAGAAGAGGCAACAAGGAGCCAAAGGTCAAGTTGACCGGGCGCACGTGATTTTCACAACATCTTCTGGGCTAA